ATAATATCGAAGAAAAATTAAAACCACAAACAAAAGGGTATTAAAGTTGAAAAGAATTACGATTTATTGTTTCAATTTTAAAATGAATACCGATGCTGACACTTCTTTGAAGCTGAAAAGAATTGTAAAGTGTCCAACAAAACACTCAACCATACAAGAAAGACCCTTTAATCCTGTGTTTTCCATTGTGGGAGTTATTCATTAATCCATAGACACGATATGAGCAGCCCTAGGAGAATGCTGACTCCAAGAAAATCTATTCAATATGTGCCAGATACTGTAATGGTAAATCCTGGAAATAAAAGTATTACAACTCTTGTATGAATGTTATCCCTGCAGTATGTCATTGTGTCTCTATTGATATTCTGTACTAGATCCACCATCCAGCTCATTCAAAACTCCACCATTCTTAGCAGCACTAAACTCCACACTCCCATCAGTTCAGTCTTCTCCAGGCTCCACTGACTCCATATCCTAAAAGATCCTCACCTGTAAATCCCTTCACACTCTGCTACCACACCATCTATGTGATCTGCTACCCCACTCTTTTGATTGCCCCCTCCACTTGGCAAACTTAGGTCTGCAGTGCATCCCCGCCTCTTCCACACCATCTTGAGAGCGTTCAGCAACCATAATAATAATGATCCTTGCATTTGATATAGCGCCTAGTCACGTCATTGAGACGTCTCAAAGAGCATCACAGGATATACTGTGAAGTGGATTGATTGTGTATTTTGTAGGTGAAATGCAGCAGTCAATTGCGCACAACAATGTTGCACAAACAGCCATGGAGTGAGTGACCAATTTTATTTTAGGGGGATTGTTGGCCAGGACACCGGGAGAAACTCCCTTCTCTTTTCGAATAGTGAAATGAGATCTTTAATATCCACCTGAACAGGCCAATGGGACTTTGGTTTAATGGCACTTCCAACAATGCCACACAACTCCAGCACTGCATTGGAGTGTGATTCCATGTCCCGATGTGGGCTTGAACCAGAGGCTAGAGTGCTACAACTATGCCAGGCTGACACACCATGCTCATCGTCCAGAACTCCCCACTCTACTCACCGCCTCCTCTCTATCAGTCTTTATATCCAATTGAGAAACCTCTTCAACCAAACCTAAGTAAGCTCTGCTCCCGAAACCCCCCACTCCTCTATTGCTTAGGAAAATTGTACCGTATTCACCAGGAAGAAAGGAGGATTCATAGAAAAATAGAAACATAGAAACAGGAATAGAGTATTCAGGCCCTCGAGCCTGTTCCACCATTTTATAAGATCATGGTTGATCTGTACCTCAAGTCCAGTTACCTGCACTTGCTCCGTATTCCTTAATACCCTGACCTAACAAATATATAAACTGTAAATCCCTTCACACCCTGCGACCACACCATCTCTATGATGGTGATTTACAAGCACAGTTACTTGCATCAAACAGTTGTATTATTATAAATGGATGAGCAAGAGATATTTTTGAGTGGTAACCAAATCTATTTGTATCATCGGCAATGACTTTATATTGCAACCATGGTTTTAGTATGCAGGTTGCAGCACAATTTACTTCAACATCAGAAACCATTAATCAATTCATTGCAGCACAGAATAAAAGGTGGATTAATAGGTGAAATTTACTTTTTAAAAACTAAACGATCAACTGCAACTTTAAATAAAAGCAGTCAAAGAGAGTTAAACAAGTCATGTTGATATTGTTTGGGGAACTGGCTTGAAGGAGTCAGTTCCAAGTCAACAATGTAAGGCAGCACTGTCGAAACTATAGAGCCACAAATCACTTGTGGCTCATGAAGGGTCAGGTGTGGAAAATTCACAGTCACCTCAGCTTCAGCAGAAAGCATGTGTCTCAGACAATTTCCACTCCTAATTTGCTTTGCTTACAGTGACGTGAGCATAGCGATTTGGAAAGGGGGCTCAAAGAAAATCCAATTTCACTGATTTACTTACTCTAAAAATAGAGTGAAAATCGGTTGAAAGTGACTAAAGAATCCTAACCATATGCCACACTAACTAGTCAACAGAGTGCAGTAAGAAAGAAATGGAGCCACACTTCAATCCCAGTATTGTGCACTTAAAATACACACCAGATCATTATCCCTGAATTATAATAATAATAATACTTGCATTTGATATAGCACTTTTCATGTCTTCTAGACGTCTCAAAGCACTTCACAGAATATACTGTAAAGTGAATTGACTGTATATTTGTGGGCGAACGCGGCAGCCAATTGTACACAGCAGTGTCCCACAAAAAGTCGTAGATTGAAAATGACTAATTTATTATTGTTTTTTTTGGTTTTGGAGGGATTATTATCAGGCGTGTGGAGTAAGGAAACTTGCCCAAGGTTTCGCCCGCCTGGAATTGAACTCAGGTCTCTCGCTTTCAAAGCGAGTGCTCTAACCACTGAGCTACAGGATTCCACATTAACAGCAAAATAATTTGGCACGATCACGGTTTCACTAAAGAATAAGTGGTCATTATTAATATTAGGGTATTATGCTGTGAACTTTCATTTTTATCACAAATCCCAAAGGATTACCATAGGAAAATTGTTTTGTGTTCACAGTGGAGCAGAGCTGGGAGATCTTCCCTTTTGCTTTTTAATTTTCTACTAAATCTTTGACAGTTTTTATTTCACCACATGCTTTTTAAACTATCCTCAGTGGGGGTGGGGTGGGGGGGCTGGCACTGTCAAGCTGAGGGATTTATTTTGCAGGCAAACATAGCAGCTACTTTACACACAGCAATTTTTGGGGTCAGCCACACATGTGGAAATCCACCACCACGCTTAAGATCATTCAAACCTCGCTGAAGAGCATGCAAACCTAACAGAGTTCCATTAATCTCACCTGTACATTGAAATTCCTGAGATGTTATTGTTTATTGGATTAGAATGTGCACTCTCTCTCTGGAGGGTCAAATGACACTTACCAAAATCCAGAAAGTATTAAGCACTAGCTGGCGAGAATCATTGCTTGGGAACCTTAAGAGTATGCATTGAGGTACTACTGGAAACTAAGCACTAAACCCACATGGCTTCCCATTGATATCGCTGTCTGGCAAGCTTTCCCATTGCTTGTCTGGCTGGGACCATCCTACCAGTTAGGACTTTGGCTTGCAGGGTTAATGGAAGCTGAATGGGAAGAGTCCTTGCACCCAATGACTGGTCTGCCATTTCAAGTCCTGCCAATGAGTCTGTTGTGTCATCAGCAATGCCCTGGAGTACTGCAGACTCACCTGGCTCAGGAACTGGATTACCAAAATCACCATTCGTTGCCAAATATGTCACCTTGGAGTCAGTTCAGCTTGTGTCAGCAGTTCATCTCGTGTCAGTCGAGTAAAGGCGCTGGGTGGTAGATTGGGGAGTGAGGATGTCGGAGAGGTAGGGAGGCGCCAGAGGGTGAAGGGATACTATATCTGGGATGCACACTGACAAGACAATAGAAAGGTCTGAAAAACTTCCCTAATAATATTCTGCGCTACTTGTTTCCCCTCCTATTATCCTTCATGCAAGACCAACTGCAATAGACAAGTGCAAATATTCAGTTCACAAATGCTTGTCAAATCATATTTTCCAGCTGTGCACATCTGCTGTCCGTCCCTGCCCACTATTAAACTCTCACAGATAAGACAAAAACAAAAGTCAAAAATAGTGAAAAGAAAAAAAAGTGTTTTACTTAAAGAAACATCAATACTATTAGGCAGTAACAAATCCCAATATTGAGATAATGAGTCCTACAACACAGTATTTCTTAACGTCAATGCACAGGAACTCAAGTTCTGAAGTTGGGTTCGTGGGAAGGAACAGGAATCGCCATTTGTTTTGAGGCACTCATTTGTGATATCAAGTTAAGGAATCCTGCTAAGAAATATTGCAATGTGACCCTGGTGTTGGTAAACTGGTGGAGTGTCACTCTCCTGGTCTATGGTACCATCTTAATTCTTCAATGTATTATCACTTTGTGACAGGGGGCAGAAAGTGAATTATCCTGCACAAAATAACAATTACCACAGATGGAGATGACTTAATATGATTATTACAGCTGCAACATCATCATCAGAATATGGCTAAAAATAGTTCAGATAAAAATCATATTAGTTTAGATGAAAAGTTCCTTCTTTTCAAATCTTGCCATTTAATCTTGACATTTTGTTGAGATTCATGCATCGGAAAGAAAATAAAAGCCCAACTCGAAGCAAGCAAGCTCAAAGCACAAGCAAGCCAAGAACAAATGCTTTAGACTTAATCTCACCGAATATTTACAGTACTTTTGTAGACAACCTGCGTAGCAGGATTTGTACAAAAAGGAAACATAAAATCACCAATTATTAAAAGTAATCAAATTAAAAAAAAATAAAACCATGATTAAATAATAGTTTAATTCTGATCTGATATATTTTGTAAAGTATTTGATTATATTGTTGAAAAACGCTGCTAGGAATTAAAAAATAAATTTGAAATGTAATTAGTAAATGAACAGCAGTGACAGTTTAATGGTTTTAAATACTAACAAGCTGCTCATTTTTGAAAATAAAAACATGATCCAGAAATAGTCTTAATTAAAACACAGGTGTAAATATGCAAGTTTGACTTCAGTAATATTATGCCTGGCATCGCTTTATAAATCTGCAGAATCCAGCAAATTTCATGAAACTGCACAATTGATACTCCAGTACCCGACCATTATCACATCTGTTTGCCAATTAAGCACTGACTTTCAGAAACACAATGAAATCTAATTACAGGTTCAGTGCCAGCTTTTACTCAAAACAGTATATTTGATACTTCTGGGATGTGCATTTTGTATTTTTTGTGCTGTCATCAGCATTGATTGTTAAAAAAAATAAACCATTTAACAATCATAAATTAATGAACAAATTTGAAGTTTGAAACAGACAGAAACAGAGAAGTAGGACAAGAATACCGACTTATTAGATTTCAAAATCTTTGGCCTCTTACACAAATTGAATTGCCCCTCCCCTCTCACCTTTTCACAACGTCTTCTCCATTCCAGCACACCAATCCATCGGCAGCTGCCAAGTCACTGGCACATAACTGATCAGCCAATCCGCCATACAAAGTCCGATATAACCGAAGACTGTTGATAAATTCTCTGAAATACACACCAAAGCAATAATATCTTTTAGGAAAAAATGTACAAGGAATGTAGTGAGAAGATTATTTTCAGCAAGTGCACATAGAGCAAATCTCTGAAATGGAAATATAAAAGTTATTAGCTGAAGGGCTCAAGTAGCTGAATTTACCATTGCTTGCAATGTTTTTACAAGGTGCTGATATGCATTTGCAATATAATAAAAAAAAGTAATGCCTTGCAAGAGGCCCTCACACATCTGGAACAACTCATTTGAATGTGGTCCATTTGACTGGACCAGGCAAATAAGCTTAGAGTTTCCTGGAATTTGTGCTATTTTGGGCAACAAACTAACCTTTCCCACCAACAAAAAGCTGGATCTGCTGGAACAATAACATAAGGCTAGTGTTTCAGTCTCAGGGGAGACTGGGGGTCAGCTTGTTATATCTGTAACTCCATATGGAGTTAGCCTGAGTGAAATGCAGACTTGTCTCTCTCCTTCAATATGCAATGAATGTATGAGCCCATCTGTGTCGGGGCCTTTTCTTTAAAAACTAACAATTAGCACAGTGCTTGCTGGTTCAAGTCTATGATCTCGAGGCTTGAATTGTAAAAACACAGCTTGCAGAAAATCTCAGATCATATAAAATGAACTGCTAAAATCTGTCAAACCGACATTCAGTTTGGCTCACAGACACCTGGGATGCAAGGGAAATGTTAACAGGTGCTGCTTATAATATATATTTTAAAAAAAGCAAATTGAAATTCTTCAAGAGAGCTTTTAATGAACAGCATCATCATATGCAGCAGTTCTCCTGTGTTGTCTCCAGTCGGGCCTTAATGACAAAAAACTACCCTGGAAATTAAAGAGGATAAAAGCAGCAAAATTGTTGATGCTTCAGAGCCTTGGACAGACAGACAGACCTACATTGGGAATGCAATAGGCAGTAACTGGCAGCTAAGCTTTTGCTTCAACCCTCAGGGAGACCCGTCAATCAAACTCTTGCAAGCCTTGATCTGGCAAATTTCATCAATTGCCAGCCAGACAGATCTTTCCATGGGGCACCAATTGAGGTGTTCTGTGTGAGGGGGATTTACTTCACAAACCCACTTCCTACTGGTTGATAGCGAAGTGACACAGATAGAGGTCACAGAGAAGTCCTCAGCACAGACAGTCTCAACCCTCCGAGTTTAACTAAGTTGGGAACGAGTGGAAAGAATAGTTGCCCTTGTCTCTGCTTTAATCCATCCCTATTGATGAGGAGGCAAGCATCGTAACTGGGATTACTGGTAACTTGCTCAGGTTGGCCTAGAGTTTCTAACTTTTTTCACATCCTTTCATGGCTTCTTGCTTCTTTATGGGATGACCCATCCTGTTATGAGATTGAGAAGTTCAAAGATAAATCTGAGGTCAGTGTGGGTCTGGTCTGGGCATGGGCGCAAACCTTACTGCAGACTAACTGACAGCGTGTTTTTACATATGTAGTGTGGTGGGTTTTGTCTGTGTAAACATCATAACATGATGTGGAGTCCTGTAACTCAGGGATTAGAGCACTCGCCTTGCAAGCGAGACACCTGGGTTCAGTTCCAGGCAGGACGAAACCTTGGGCAAGTTTCCTTACTCCACACGTCTAATAATAATCCCTCCAAAACAAAACAATAATAAATTGGTCATTTTCAATCCACGACTGTTTGTGGGACATTGCTGTACGCAATTGGCTGCCGCGTTTCGCCCAGAAATATACAGTCAATTCACTTTACAGCATATTCTGTGAAGCGCTTTGAGAAGTTGAGAACACGTGAAAAGCGCTACATCAAATGCAAGGATTATTATTATTATGTTATTTTTATTTCACATAATGGAATACAGTGTTTTATTTACGTAATAGAAACCATTCTAGTTTTTGTACCACTTTCTAAAATCTAACTTCCCAGCACCTCAGGTTTATTCAGCAAGTAACTGAGCCACATAAGATACACCTAAAATACACTTATTTCAGCTACAAAAGTTACTACACTTTAAAGTACATCATGTAAAGTGCTTCAAAATGTTCTCTGCGTGAAAGGTGCTAAACCAAATGTGAGGATTATTATACAGACTGGACATGTTCGATTCCCCCGATTTGAATGTAGCTGAACAACTTCTACTTGAGATGGATGCATTCGTCACCTCCCGCCTCAATTATTCAAATGCCCTCTTCGCCGATCTCCCCAGTTTCACAATCCACAAAATCCAGCTGAATTCAAAAATCTGCCACTCGCATACTCACCCATACTAATCTCCGTACCCCCTATCACACCAGTTCTAGCCAGGCTTCACTGGCTCCCTATCGCCAAATGGATACATTTCAAGATTCTCACACTCGTTTTCAAATCCCTTCACGCTTTGGCACCTCCTACCTCTCCGACCTGCTTGCTCCCAACCCACTATTCACTGCCTCCGCTCGACTGGCTACATAAATGCAAGTTGTTTTTATTGTTGTTGAGTGCTCAGCGAGAGAACACGACTGGTTCTGCCCCCTCTCCCCCATTGACCAGCAGGCTGCCGATGATCACTGTCAAAGCTCACATATGAATAATTGCACTCTCCAGGCCCCAAATATATTTTTTAATAAATGTAACAAATTATTTAAGCTATTACTACACACACATCCTACAGAATACAATAAATATAAATGAAAGTACTGGATCTTACTTTCTTCTGCTGGACAACGTCTCCTCATTCTCTTTCTGTATGATTTTCAGCCCATGCTTCTCACTGTACACATCCGGCTGGTAACCTGAAGACTCTGCAGGTTTTCTAATAGGATGTCCACACGCTTTATTTACCTGCAAACAAGGAAAGGCACCCATTTAGGATAACAATTTACAAAAATGGCTCAGATGAAAAGGTACCTTTGGTCCTTTCATAAGTTTTAAAATGACCACCTCCATCTGCTGCCTTTTCCACTAAAACCTGAATCTTTCTTAAATGCTTTGAGTCCTGGCCTTAACCACCCCTCCTGTTAACCAGCTGTTAATTATGTTCTGTGTTAATAAATACTTCTCAGTCTTTCCTAAACTTGTCCTTGATCACTCTTATCATTGACTTGTGGTTGGTCCTGTTACCTTAAGATATCTGAAAATATTTTTACTTTATTTTCTCTACCCTATTTAGCATTTTATATACCTCAAAATACTCTGAGATATCTCTTTTCAAGGCTGAAGAGCTTGAGTTTATCTAGCTGATCCTCATAGTTCATTCCTCTAACACTGTGGATCAGCCTTGATATACTCTCCTTCACTGCCCTGGGCAAGTCAGTCCTGGTCCTGAGCAGACAACAACCACTAATATACACATTACTCGACGTGCAAACTGACCAGAACACTGCAGTAAAATTCACATCAGTCGTACAGTCGGGACCAAAACACTGAATATGACTTACATGAAGTCCAAGTTGCAGGCAAATTGCACAAATCATATAAAATCAGATTTAATCAATAATCTGCACTGCACATGCATAATTGATAGCAGTCGGTAAGTGTGCATGTGTTGGTTCACTACTGAAGCTGGTAAGTGTGCAAGCATGCAATGAATCACAGGAAATGTTGTTCTGATCCGTCGCTACATAAGCACTTACCTGCAAGCATTGGAATTGCATTGAATCGAAGCAAATTAAGTTCTTAAATTCAACAGATCAAGATTATGTTTCCCGTGATTCAATGCACTTGGCCGGTAAGTGCACATGCGTCGACTGGTCTGTACATTATTTCCCACAATTCAATACAGTCAGTAATTGCAGGAATAATGGAGGATAGAGGAGTAGTGTTATGAGTGATTAACCAGCATAGTACAAAGAAATCTAAGTGGTTTTGATAGGAAACTGAATGGGACTCAGGTGAATGTACAATTTAGGAGATTATATGATTTATAAAGATAAGACTTATACAACAACAACAAGATTCCATTTAGAGAGCGCCTTTCACGTCGGGAGGACGTCCCAAGGCGCTGAGGTTTGCTGTATGTGTGTGCTTGAGTCACAGTTGGGGATCTGAACTCAACTGGTTTAGAAATGTAGCCCAGTATCCTGTTTGCCATGTTGCATGGGTATACAGTGTGATGATATCTAACAGTACACAAGACCGTATCAGCCAGCTTGGCTTGAAATATTAGTGCGTGATCCCAAAATGCAAACTATGCATAGAAAATAATTAAATATTGGGTCTTGAAGTCGTTGGGATATTGTAAATCAAAACTAAAAGCTGTTTCAACTTAAGATGGTTCTTACCAGTAGATTCTTTCAAGCAATTTAAGATGGGTTTATTGGAATTTATGCTAAGTAACTCCAACCAGATGGCACAGACATTGCTCCAGGCTCATTTAATACAAAAAAAACAACTAATCAGGGTTGGTTCAGACCATATGTTTACAATGTTTAGAAATGGTCTGCTTTTTATAATTCTTCTGAAACTCCTGAGGGAAATAAAGGAAAGAGGGATTGGAGACCACTGCACAGTGTCATAGTACATCAGGAAAAATTGATTATTTGAAACAACGTTTGTCCTCCTCCCAAACTGGACCTGGACCACAGTTTCTCTGCCATACAAGTCAGGTTGAGAGATCATCAGAGTTCTTTGTTTTGCTGCTGTAAATGTGCAGGCTTCTCATGAAATGGTTTGGGAACATTATAACTGAAAGGTGAGTGACAATACAGTAATGATTTCCGCAACTAGTTCACAAACAGGAATGCTTCAGGTTTGCATCTAAGTATCTTAATTGTGTTCTATTATGTCCATCAATCAGCCTTCCACACAGACCTGAATAATGCTTTAGTTTGGTCTCTTTCCCTGAAAAGATTATCCTTGAATAGTAAATAATACAGTTCTATTCCATTTAAAAATCTAGCAACTTCTATCCAAAGTCACTCTCGGGGAAATGAGTCGGCCCTCAACATTGCGATGGGAGATCTCAACTCCTCAGATGTGTAAAATGAGAGGAACAAAAATGTCTTCAATTGCGCTACACTCATTGGAGAAGCATTAGTTATGCGCATTAGGTGGCCAGAAAGCATTCAGTATACACAGGAGGAAAAGTAATAGTGAGTCTGAATTGGAATTAAAATATATAAATAATCCTTGCTTTTGATAGTGAGAGAAGTCTGAAAGCACCTCATAGGAATCAACGTAAAATGTACTGATTATATAGTCTGTAGTCAAAAATGGCAGCCAATTTAGCACAACAATGTCCCACAACAACAATGATGTGAATCACCAACTTTAGCTAAGGGACTGTTGGCCAGGACAGCAGGACATTTTCATTTCTCTTTTATAGGGCCAAGAGATCTTTAGCATCCACTTGAACAGGCAGACATGTAAATTAGTTTGATGACTTATCTAAAGGATGTCAGCTCAAACAATAAGAACTCCCCCAGCACTAAAATTAAGTCCTCAGCCTAGACTGAGTTCAAAGTTCCAACGTGGTCCTAATCCAAACTTGAATCCTGAAACCACATAAGTGCTCTGGAACACTACCCTGTGTGAAGGGTGCTATATAAATGCAAGTTGTTGTTGAAACTTCCGACTCAAGAGGCAAGAATGCAACTAATTGAGCCAGACTGACACACAAGAAGCAAGATCAGAAGACACTTCACACAAAAGGTTGTGAAATGTGGAAAACACTTACCGCAGACACAAAACATCTGTCCTGACCAACAGTCCTCTAAATAAAATTGGTTGCCACGTTCATCTAAACATACTGTCAATATACTTTATTGAAACTTTGCGAAGCAATAAAACATTTTGAGTATGATAGGCACAATATCAAATGCAAGGATTACAGCATCTTACATTTATATAGCATTTTTTACATAGGATAGCATCTTGAAGCACTGTCCAAAGATTATTAATATTACTAGAATAAACACTAGTCTTGAGATTCCCACAGCACAATTAGTTGTTCCTTATGGTAACAGCGACCTAAATAGTTTCTTTTCAGACATGTTCTGCTAGAATTGCTGCTCACCCCAGAAAAAGCAACAGGCTTGAAATTCCGTCTCATCTTGCCCCATAAGACCAAGGTTTGATAACGGAATGTCAGAATCAAACCAGCTCTCTGTGGTGGTCTCGGTAGTCCAGTTCCTGATCCAGGCAGGTCCACAGTATTCCAGAGCACTGCTGATAACAGCACAGTCAGCCTGGCTCATCGGCAGGACTTGGAAGGGCAGACCAGTCACTGGGGGCAGAGAATCCTCCCACTCAGCTCTTGTTCACCTGCAAACCGAAACCCAAAGAGGCAGGATGGTCCTAGCTGAACAAACAGTTCAGTTTTGATTTCCGCATGTATCAGACACCCGGCTAATCCCAAAAAAATCCTATCCTTCCAGATCACCCACCCTACTAACTTCCCAGCACTGCATCAAACATGTTTTTTAAAATTGAGTCCAGTGGCCTGGCAACCTGTTCCAGTCAATTATCCTCTGGGTAAGAAAAGCTTCTTGGTATTTGTCCTAAATTGCCCTTTGCATTCCTAAACCTATGACCGCTTTTTCTACAGTCTTCATGCATCCTAAAAATATTGTTCTCAGTTTACTTTTTCAATCCCATTTAAAATGTTATACACCTCTATAGGATCCCCACTGAGTTGCCTTCTGTAAAGACTAAAGAGTCTGTTTATTGGCAATGATCGTCTCAAAAAAATTATCAAGAGATCTTCTTAATAAATAATAGGGCAGCAACTGAAAAGCCAGAACATTACATAATAAAATAAAGGTGGATGATTTATAATGCAAGCCTTTCAAAGTTAATAAGTGACCAAAGTCAGTGTAAAACATGATCGTTTGAAAAACCTTAAAAAAACATACAAAATAAATTTTATAAAAACCAAATCCACATTTTAACGCAATTTGTAATATATTTTATTTGCTTTTGATACTTGAACTTTCTTTTATTTACTGTTAAAAGGAAGTTTAGTTCCCTCTCAGGCTTGCAGTCAGGTTTGTGAACTGCATTGCGATGTCCTCCTATTGTAAAAGTTGCTATAAAAATTTAAATTGTCAGTAGACTTGAATCAAGAAAATAGTTCCAATCATAGTTGTGCAAAGCTCATACCTAACTCATTTTTACTCTTCTCTCATAACATAACATAACATAACATAACATAACATAACATAACATAACATAACATAACATAACATAACATAACATGTTGGAGCAGGAGTAGGTCATTCAGCCCTTCGAGCCTGCCCTGCCATTCAATCATGGCTGATCTTCTAATCTAACTCCAGCTAATAACATAACCCTGCCTTATCCCTATATCCCTTAATCCCTTTTGCAATAAGAAATCTATCTATCTCAGTCTTGAATATGTTCAAGTACTGAGCGTCAACAGCCCTTTGGGGTGACGAGTTCCATACATTCACCACCCTTTGAGTGAAGAAGTTCTTCCTCAACTCAGTGCGAAAGGCCTGGCCTCTGATTTTAAGGTTGTGACCCCTGGTTTTAGTTTCTCCAACCAGGGAAACAATCTCCCACTATCTACTCTATCATGCCCTTTGATGATCTTATAGGTTTCTATAAGATCCCCTCTAATTCTTCTATATTCTAGAGAATATAGGCACAAATTGGTCAGCCTATCCTCGTAACTCATCCCCTTCATCCCTGGCACTAACCTAGTAAATCTACGCTGCACCCCCTCCAAGGCAAGTACATCCTTCCTTAAATAAGGAGACCAAAACTGCACACAGTATTCCAGGTGTGGTCTCACCAGGGCCCTATACAGTTGCAGCAAGACTTCCCTACTCTTATACTCTAATCCTTTCATAATGAATGCTAACATACCGTTCGCCTTCCTA